TATCAGCTCACTGTACAGCCTTAAGGAGGATTGACACAAGGCTAGGTGTATGAAATAAATAATGGTACTGAGAAGGTCTCTTCTCAATAAAGCTGTTAACTAAAGTTCCAGATAAATGTCCCTGAATTCATTCGGCCAGGAGTCTGACATAAGAGACACAAATAATGGGCTGCACTTTGATATAAATTCTTAACTAAGTAGCTTAATTTATCCTACTAAAAATCCTCTTGTCACTTCATCCAAAAGCATTTCATAAATACATAATTTTCCCATTAGAATGTTACGAAAGGAGATTAATGCTCAAATTCAAGCTTTCTTCTATTCACTCAGTTTATTTAGGCAATCAAACGAAATTTGAAAAATTGTTATTACGAAATTTCCTTTCTCTTTCAGCGTTCATCTTCAAATGCATTCAGCTTTACGAAACCACGGTTGTTCGGCACGGCCTCATGCTGATCGGGCCTACAGGCTCCGGAAAAACAAAGGTTTGTTCTGTGTATATGGGTCCTGAAAGCATAAATGGATGGAGAATTCGGCTATTTTTAATTATCTATAATTTGTTTTTAATTTTTTCTATTTTATTATTAGCGTGCTGCAGTGAAAGACTAACCCACTTCCTGATTTTAAGCATTCCTGTCGCTATAGGGCTTTCCAAGTTTGGTATATTATTACATGGAATAAGTCTCTAGAATTTGGCATGCCCTAGGCCATATAAAGTGATGGGGAACTGATATTTGACTCTTTCTACAATTATACTAATAAGCCTCATTTTCTATTAAATTTGACTTGGCTTTGCCGCCCTAAAGGTATTCCCATCTAATTTAAAAGTTTAATAAAAAATCCTAATACTCAGGGCAGAAAGCTAAATGATTAAACACAGAGCACGTTTTTATGTAATTTATAAGATTAATTTAATTTAAGGCATTTCTGAGACTGATTTTTGTCAAGGTATATCTCTTCAAATTTTTATTTTATTTTTTGTTCATAAGTAGAGTTTCTAAACTACCAATTGGCATATTAAGAGTTTTTCCACGATGAACTAAAGTACTCTTTAGCTTACTCATTAAACTTTGCTTAGCCATCCATCCCAAAAGGCACGTATCCAGACTTGACCTCACCTTCTATCTCGCCGGATCATGCTATCAACCTTTTCAGCTGTATTTGAACTATGGAAGTGATGAATAATAGGCAAGCATCCTATCACGTATTAAGTAGAAAGGAGAGGCATGAATTTTAAGGCCTCCCTTAATTAACATCATTTTGCAGGGAATTTCATTTTGCTAATAAAAATATAAAATGTTCTTTATTGATCCTAGACAGACTCGTTATCCATTTACTCTGCAGCCAGTTGAAAATAACATACTTCCAAAATAAATATAAAGACTTTTTATAAATATTGATACTAAATTCGTTTATTGAGTTTGAAAGTCCATGTAACAAGCAGGGATTCAAATTTCTATCTGGTTAGACGAAATATTAGTGCCCTCATTCATTGGAATAGTTGCCCTGAAAGTGCTTTCATCGCATATTCTCCTCCCTATTGTTATTCTCCTATATCTGATCTATTTTAAAGGACTTGTGCATGCCCAATGAAGACAATAGCGCAGATTTCCTTAAATAACGTTTTTACTTCAATAATTGTTAATAGTCACGCATTATTCGATATTGTGCTTCAATTATACAAAATTTATTGCAGAGGAATTCTTGGGACACTAAAGGCACTTGATTACGCTTTTGACTTGTTTTAAGTGCTATTTGTTCTACAAATCTTAACAATTGGTACGAACTTTGAGCTCAAAATCAGAGTTCGAGGCAAGTATAAATAGACTACCAAACGATCAGCACTTAAGCAAGGAAACAGGTGTACACTTCACCTAGAGTTTCGATCCACAATTCAAGTACAAGTGACAAAAACAATGAAATTACAATTGATAACCTGGCCTCAACTTTAATTCTGTCCAAGCTCTCTCATTTATGTCGTCTTGGTATACTATGTATCAAAGTTTTCATCTCATCTGAGCAGAAGGACAGGTATTGTTAT